CAAGGCAGCTTTGCCGAAGCCATCAAAGGTTGGCATCCGCCTCAAAACTACGATTCCTCCCAACACGTGCACAGCCACGCACACGTGACAGACTCCAAGTCTGATCTTCTTTCTTCTCATTTTGCTCTTGGTCTCTTGAAGTCTTCACTATGATCAACACATGCACATCATCCCAACATCCCGCCTACTCTATGGATGAAACATGACTTAAAGGAAGAGTTCATCTGAAAATTCTGTCATTATCTACTCACTCTCATGTTGTTCTGAACTCATATGACTTTCTTTCTTCCACTGAACCAAAAATGGAATCTTCAGAGGAATATTGCACACTGCCATTTTCCATACGACAAAATCATACAGTTACTAGAAACTCCCAAATGACAAAAACACCAAAAAGTAACCATAAATATAGTCTATACAACTACAAATCATCCGATAGCTTTGTGTGAGGAACAGACGCTAATTTAAGTCACTACTCAATAAAAAATATAATTATAATTAAATTAAAATATAATTTAAAAAAATATATAATTTAAATAGTTAAAAAACATTTAAAGTAAACAATGAACATATATTTATATAGATATATTTCAGGTTAGGTCAGAATGTTTTTTTAAGGAAATTAATACTTTTATTCAGCAAGGATATATGAAAATCATCAAAAAAACAGTAAAGACATTCATAATGTAACAAAAGATTTTTATTTCAAATCAATGCAGTTCTTTTGAATGTTCTGTTTTAGAATCTTAAAGGTGTATCACGATTTCCACAAAAATATGAAGCAGCACAACTGTTTTCAACAGATAATAAACAGAAATCAGCATATTAGAATGATTTCTGAAGGATCATGTGACACTGAAGACTGGAGTAATGATGCTGAAAATTCAGCTTTGATCACAGGAATAAATTACATTTTACAATAAATTCAAATTGAAAACAGGTGTTTTAAATTGTAATACTATTTTGCAATACTACAGTTTTTACTGTATTTATGATCAAATAAATGCAACCTGTGTGAGCTGAAGAGACTTTTGATCAGAATTTTGATGAGTAAATATCTACATGCATTTTTATTTATTTTTTAATGTTAAAGGGGTCATATGATGCGATTTAATTTTTTCCTTTCTCTTTGGAGTGTTACAAGCTCTTGGTGCATAAAGAAGATCTGTAAAGTTGCAAAGACTAAAGTCTCAAAACCAAAGAGATATTCTTTATAAAAGTTAAGAGTCAACCACGCCTACCTAAAACGGCTCGTTCTAACACGCCCCCACATATCTACCTCACTATGTGGGAATATTGGCATAACGTCGCCCAAATGTTCACGCAAAGAAAGAAGGTGTAACTTTTATTCTCGCTGTAGTATTGTTGCCGCTGCCGCCATGTCGTGAAGACGCTGTGTTTTTCGTTGTGAAAGCGAAACTACTTTGTTTGGTCTTCCAAAAGAGGACGATATCCGCTTCGTCATGCCTGGAGCTGATATGTGCTGTTCGCTGAGGGAATACATCAACTTAGTGCTGTGGATCATCGGATCGGCTTTCACTGTTTTCACCGCTCCTTCGCCGGGACCGCCGTTCTCGACCCCGCCGCCTCAGCTCACTCTTGCGCAGCTTCAGCTCACGCTAAGCCGGGGCTTTCGCTGAAGCTCATACCGGCCCTCACAAAGTGCTGTTTCAAGTGGAAAATTACACTCATGCGTAGAAGAAGAGTAGCCAGAAGATCGACAGTAATATATAGAGGAATTTTTCCTTCTTAATGCTTTGTATTAAACCTTAATTTGCCAGGAATGTGTTTCAGGATTCCTGGGGCATCCATGAAAACATAATAATTCCAGGGCTTTTGAGTTTGCCGTCACTGTCCGGCCCCGGAGCTGCGGCCCTTCCGAGACTGAGAGATTCCAAGATCAGACGGCACAGAGTCCACACTGCATCTCAGAAGCCACTTTTTTCTTGCACAAGGTGCCGGTCACCAATCGGGAACTAAAAGTTCATTTATGTGCAAAAATGGGCTCTGTATTGGCCCCTGAAACCTGCTGGTCTTAACCCTAACATTTCTCTAACATCAGAGGCCAGGGGTTGGGATAATTTCCACAAAACATAAAGTCAGTTAAATTAACTTGCTTTGTTGTTCTCAGTATTTTATATGTTATACTTGTTAAACATCTTAGTCACTGAATATAATTGTTTTGAATGTTAAAGGTGATGTGTAGAATTTTTTCCCCCATCTTATAGTTGGCATAAAATGAAAATGCAAATGAAAATTCCAAATGCATTTTTGAAGGAAGTCTCTTCTGCTCAGGGCTGCATTTATTTGATCAAAAGTACAGTAAAAACAGCAAACATTGTTACAATATAAAATAAATGTATTCTATTTTAATATATTTTAAAATGTAATTTATTCCTGTGATGCAAAGCTGAATTTTCAGCATCATTACACCAGTCTTCATGATCCTTCAGAAATCATTCTAATATACTGATATGCTGCTCAAGAAACATTTCCTATTGTTAACAATATAATTTTTCAGTTATCTTAGAAAACAGTTGTGCTGTTAGTTTTGTAACATTATGAATGAATCAATTTAATGCATCCTTGCTGAATAAGCTACTACTAAATATTGTAGAAACTTATTTTTTTGTAAAGTTGCTTTGCAACGATTTGTACCGTAAAAAGTGCTATACAAATAAACTTGAATTTAATAAAAGTATTCATTTTTTGAAATGCCCACATTTCCAATCAGCAACCAGTGGATAAAACCAAGCCCTGCCCTACTTGTGTTATCTTTCAATAATCTATATTCTTATTCAATATGGTAGAACAAATCACTACTTGTGTTTCATTGCAACTTTAACAATTTTTTCCTCCAATGCCAGCGTATACTGCCACAGATAAACAGATTCTTTTAAAACCTGAAAACAGTCATCATGTCTTAGTGACACTAATAACACTATTCAACTCTAAATATCATTAGACTTAAAGTAAACAAAGACTTGTTTGTTGGCAGGTTATGCAGTAACACATTCAGTTACATCATCGGTCCTCTCAGTGGAAACCTTCACATGGGCCTCACTTCCTTCCTCCAGGGAGTCTCCTCTAAGAGGTCAGCGGGGTCAGACACATGCCTGCAGTCTCAGATGCAGATGGAGATGCGACTGTGGTGTGTGTGTGGGTGGACGTCAGCTCAGTGTCTCCCGCTCAGTGCCCTTTACGCCGGTCTGTACGCTGTGTGACGGCCATCCAGCAGCGCTGCAGGCAGGAAGTGGATGTGACTTTGAGTTCCTGCCACTGTTTTGCCAGAGGATTATCGAACCGCTCTTCAACCTTCACCAGCTCTGTGTGACGGACTGTAAAGTGTTGGCCTCATGCAGACAGACTTTGGACTAACAGCATGAAGGCTTCCGCTGTCCACCGCTTGACTGACATTTAAAGCGGCCAATCGCATTTTTTATTTTTTGTTGTTGAATGTATCGTTTAGTGGTGGTTTATCTGAAATCATTGCAAAAACTGTAATAGACTGTTGTGAAAAAAAATCTAATTTAAATGATTGCACGTCTGCTGTCGGTTGTACTAAAAACACCAAATTAAGTCACTTATGCTCACCAAGGCTGCATTTATTTGATCAAAAATACAGTAAAAAGAGTAATATTGTGAAATATTATTACAATTTATTACAAGTTTTCTATTTGAGTATATTTTAACATGTCATTTATTCCTTTGATTCAAAGCTGAAATTTCTGATTAAAATTTTTGTCAAAGCCATTATAAGATTTTTGATGACTAAAAAGCAGTGTTATTTTGTATCTTTGATACTATTATAGTTTAATATTTAGAATTAGATTTTAATTACATTTTTCTGTTTTTCTCTGTTGTCATTTTTAGTTAAAGTTTTAGTAACTTTGTTTCTATTTCATTTTACTTTTTTAAAATATGCCTATATATTTTTTTTATTAAAATAATTGTAGTTATTTTTTAACTTTTAATAACTTTTAATATTTTGGCTTAATTTTTAATTAAAGTTGTATTTTTTATTTTTAGTTGATTTAGATATTTTAGTACTTCGACTTAAACTAAAAGAAAATGAGAAATGTTGCCTTGATTCAATGTTTATTTTATTAGCAAAGTAGTTAAGGATGATAAAAAAACTGCATTTATTTGAATTTTTTAAAATGTTAATCTTTTAATCAATTTAATGCATCCTTGCCAAATAAAAATATAAATTCTTCTTGAAAAAAAATTAATAAATACAAATCTTACTGACCCCAAACTTTTGGACAGTACAGTAGTTAATGTCCATCCAAAAGTCATATTTTACCAGTTCTTTTACAAATAAAGCTCAAACAATAAAGCAAATATGCAATTGTTCATGCAGTTTATTTGCTACTGCACCTCAAACTCTTATTTCGATGTCACTAACCTTGTACATTTTGGCAAATCTGCTTATTAAATCTTCCGCAGAAGTATTTATTCCATCAACCTGGTCACTTATTTACACATCTTCCTTTCCAGGTAGATTAAACATATTCTTACTCCTGGATTATGTCAGAGCGAGCAGATTTTGTGTAAAAATCATCTGGCGGTCGACTATGGGTCATTAATGGCAGACGGGGTGAGTGGAGAAACTGATGAAAGATAGCGGCGTAGAAATGATTCACAGCGGTCATATTGAGGGGAAAAACGGATTATTCTTGTATATAACGCAGACAATATAATGCAATCAGGCTTTACAGTACAAAGAGGATGTGGCAGCACCAAATACAGTATATCCAACCCAATAGCAACACTTGGAGTCTTAAAGGTACAGTAGCACAACAGCCAGTTGAAGGATCAGATGGAGGATGGAAAATGCTCATAAACACTAAATTATGATGTTTTGTGGTGCAATAAAGTAACATTATAGAGGACTATAAAAACATCATAAATGATTTGAGGCATAAAATGAAGATATTACCCCTGTAATAAATGTCAGAGCAGCTGTCATGTTTCCATTAGGCGTGTTGTGACCCCACCTGTCCGAGACTTTGATGAGCACTGCCCGGTAGAGCTGGCGCTGGACGCTGGCGGGCTCGGGGCCGCACGGGTGGACGAAGGGGTGCACAGCTGCTAGAATGAAGCCCTGCTGGTACAGATCCTGCAGCTGAGATGGCAGCTCCCTCACCGAGGACAGGCACAGCGTGGACGTCCCATCTGCCAGAGGACACAGAGGGGTGAGAACAGCAGACATGCTTCCTTTCAGGTCTGCACACTAGCAAATATCTCTACATCTTTCAGCTTTTTGATGATACATACAGTATGATTTATTTATTATTGATTGTTCACATAAAAAAAAAATTCTATATATTTTTTTTTTTACAATTTTAGCCAAACAGTTGTTGCCAAGTAAAGGAAGGAAGAATATTTATATAGTAAAATTATTTAAGAAAGGAAGAATATTTAATTCACTGCTATACGCACTAGGATAACAAAATGTAATATTAAACAGCAATATATTTTTTATATTATTTTCTAATTATTTTAATATATGAAAAATGCAAAGCAGAGATTTCTGTAGTTATTTTGTTTTGTTTAAAGTATTATTATTTATTACTTTATATGTCTTAAAACATTTTAATATAGGAAAAGGGCAAAAGTGGAGCCTTGTATGGTTATTATGTTTTAAAGTATATATCATGATTAATCACATCCAAAATAAAAGTTTTTGTTTACATATATGTGTGTGTACTGTGTATATTTATTATGTATATATAAATACACACATATGCATGTATATATTTAAGAAAAAGATGTTATGTTTATATATTAAATACATTTATAATATAATTTATATGAATATAAATATATACATGTAAATACATCTAAATATTTTCAAAATATATGCAGTATGTGTGTGTATTTATATATACATAATAAATATACACAGTACACACATATATGTAAACAAAAACTTTTATTTTGGATGCGATTAATCGTTTGACAGCACTAATATATAGTAAAAAGAAATAAAAAAAAATACCAACCACCAACCAGAGGCTTCTATTATTATTTTTAATATGTTATATTTTAGATTATTTAAAAAATATTTTGCCTGACTGACAGGGAAGCTCATGGGGCCTGGAAAGAAACAGAAAAGAACAATCTTTTCAAAAAATACTGCTGGCAAAAATATTTTAATATAAAAACATTTTAATACATGAAAAAAAAACATTATATATACTTTTTTATTTTATATATAATTTTAAATTATTATTGTTAAATTATATATTGTTTTAATATTTTTACATTGTTTTTTATTATATTTTGATTGTTAGCCTATTCTGTCTTTATTCTTTGTCTTTAGGACATTAGAACAGTAGACAGGAAAGTAGGTCATGTTGGATTTGAACCCGAGTCCCCATGAGCCAACAGCTCTCATATGTGCTAAAGATGTGCATTATATAAATCAACAGCCAAATCATTGCAACTATATCATGAATCTTTAATATAACACCCAGTCTTTTGAGCCGGTCAAACACAGTTTGTTGTTCATCCATTGCTCAGAGTCATTCTCCAGGAGGATTTGCTAGTTTGTTTACGACGAAAGCAAGAAAGACTCAAGGGTTGCTTTAGCAACTGGTGCCTCACTAACCTTGTCTATGATTTAATGGGCCTGGTGAAAAATCCAATTAAATGTGATTGTTTAGCTGGTGGTGAGATGAGAGTGTTTTACACAAGAGCCTTGATATCTTTCTGACAGCCCAGTCACACCCACCTCTGGCTGTAATGAGATACACTTGTGGAGTGACCAGACATTTGGAAGTGGGAGGAACACCTTCCCCGTTTTAATCGAAAGTCTTGACTGGGCATAATCGAGAGAGCGAGAGAGAGAAGACATGCTACATAACAGGCAGAAAGTGTCAGAATCGCCCAGCTGTGCAACAACACAGCAGATCTGTCTCACAACGCAACCAAGATGGCAGTATGCTAATGAGAGGGCATCGACCACAAATGCATTCTATGCACACTAATGCAGACGTGAATGATTGGCTCATGCATTGTTGGTGTGAGGTCCAGTTGTGCATACTTATTGCCCACTATAGTGCACATTTTGAACAGAATGTTAATTCTGTAATGGGCCTTATTTACATCTTTGAATGACATTGACTGTGTTTGGAATAGCATGCTAGCACACTAAACTCACTATTTCTGCAGTATGTATATGTGAAATTTATATATGCATGCAATACCCAGATTATATAACATATGGCAAAATGCAGTATGCAACTGAGCAGAATACTGTATCCCACAATGCAAGGCTCTTGACTTGACATCCTATTTCAAGTGTGGCAAATGATTTCACTTCAAAAATTTTTGATATTTTTGTCTTTCTGTTTTTAATTCCTGTACAAATATCTAAACAATCTTAAATCAAGAAACATTTGAAGAGTTAATTTGCAAAAACCGATAAACGCCACTTTAAAGGGGTCATATGATACGATTTCAATTTGTTTCTTTCTCTTTGGAGTGTTACAAGCTCTTGGTGCATAAAGAAGATCTGTAAAGTTGCAAAGACTAAAATCTCAAATCCAAAGAGATATTCTTTATAAAAGTTAAGAGTCAGCCACGCCTAACTAAAACGGCTCGTTCTAACACGCCCCCACATATCTACGTCACGATGTGGAAATATTAGCATAATGCCGCCCAAATGTGCACGCAAAGAAAGAAGGCGTGGTTTCAGGAACAGCAGTAGTGTTGAAGCAGCATGTCAGGGAGACGCTGTGTGTTTCAGTGTGAAAGCAAAAGCACTTTATTTGGCCTTCCGGAAGTAGACGCAATTAGGAATCATTGGTTAAGATTTATTTACAACAGAACAGCACAACCCAGATGTTCGAATTTGTGCAACGCATTTTATGGACGACAGTTTTTTGAACTTAGAAGAGTACAAGGCTGGCTGTGCACAAAGGCTATTTCTAAAAAAAAAAAAAAAAAAGGGTAAACTCCGACTTTGCTATGACAATCTGGCGCTTCTGACATAAATAAAAGCTGAAACGTTTTCACAGAAGCTTGCAAAAGCAGCGCGTTACAATGGTGAGGGAAAAGCTCAGTGTATTGCGTGTAATCACATTCGTACAGTTTATGATCACAACAACAACAACAACAACAACAATATTTGTCAGGCATCTACATTGTCATCTGAGGAGATTACAAAGATTAAACGAGTGTTTTTTAAACTCTAATACATGAAATGTGGAGTTATCTGCTTTTGCTATAAAGCAAACTATTAATATGTAAAAAACAAAACAAAAAAAAAACATACTGTCAATGAACTTTAATTTAGTAAATTACCTGTATTTGTTTAAGTTATTATTACTTAATCAAAACTGCACCCAACTGCAGTTTTATTGATATTACTTGGTATGCGCAATTAAAAAAAATTATTTCTGAAAAAAATTTAATAAATAAAAATGGAGTTATCGGTTTTTGCAAATGAACTCTTCATTTGCTTGAGACGCAAAAAAACTTAAAATATGAAGTCTTGTTTTCTATTTTTAGTGAGTTTATATATAAAACATGAAAAATATAAACAAAACAAATCGTAAATTACCTGTATTTGTTTAAGTTATTATTACTTAATCAAAACTGCACCCAACTGCAGTTTTATTGATATTACTTGGTATGCGCAATAGTTGCAGCTCACGCTGTGCACAAGTGCATATCCTTTTGAGATATCAATTATAATCAATTTTAATAAAACACAAGACTACATTCTATAACTCTAACAGTAGGCTATTTAATATCTCTTGTTCTCCGGTTGTTAGTCAAAATGACAGTTCTTGCAACATAGGCCTATATATACCCAAGCCAATTTATTATTCTTTCATTTTTGTCTTAGTGTTTAAAATATTTATTTTGAAACAAATTAATTAATTAATTTCTTAATTAAACAAACAGACTTACTGGGTGAGTAGTTGCAGACTTACTGGGTGAGTAGTTGCAATAAATGTGTTAAGAATCCATACAACTGCAGCAGCGGAGGACTATTATTCTGCTGCGTGATACTGCAGAAGAACTGATGACAGCACGGTTGGATCTTCGGCTGACCAATCAGCAGAAAGGGGCGTTTAATTCCCGGCCACATGTAGAAATCGAATATTCAAGCTGTTTATTAATTTTCCCACCCATGAACGAAAAACGAAAACTTAAGCTGAATTCTCGTTTTAAAAAACGAAAGAGGAGCCGTTTTCTCATTTTTCTACTTTCAATATTAAATCAAAAAACGAATGATCGAATGATACACGGGTTAAAACAAACTTATTTTTTATTTTTGTTTTAGTTTTTTTAAGCATTAAGTCGCTTAGTATTTGTTTTTGTTTGTTTTTTTAGAAATTTGTAAAATTTTTACAATTTAAATTGTTTTCTTTCTTTTTCTTTCTTTTTTGATATTAGTTGCAGAATTATTATTTTTAACTAAAACAAAAAATTTCAAAATGTAAAACCTTTTAAAAAATGTTTCGTTACTTTAAATAAGATAAACATGAACTGAAATAAAATAAAACAATTAAAGACATATCTCATTTTAATTTAGTTTATCTTAAAATAACTACAACTGAAACAAAATTAATAAAAACTATATAGAAATGTATTTTTAAAAAAGCTACAAATTTACAAAAACAACAAAATTACTAAAATAACTAAAAATGAAAACAGAAACTATATAAAAAAACGAATGCAAAATAAAAAAAACTATAATAGCATCTCAACAATACTCTAACCCTGATTGTTTGTAATCTTGTGATTTTTTTAACTCCTTACTTGATTAGACTGCCAAATCTTAAGACATTTTTGCACAAAATTGAATTCAAAATCCAAAATACCCTTTTTATATTCAAGATGATAACTGGATGCCACATGTACAGTATGCTTTGTGATAAAGTGGCCTTAATGTTGCATGCTAATGTTTATCATTACAAAATACACTTCAAGATAGTAAGTTTCAAACATAGCCAATGCGAAATAATCAGCAGTGCACACTGGACCTGGTTAAGTTGGTTTGTGGGTGGTTTGTGAATGAGACATGGCTTTGCACAACTATTTGTGAATCATCCCAGAGAGAGAAACAGTCAGAGTTTGTCTGTCTGTTCACAGACGGCTCTGTGCCCAAAACACTGTCATATAAACCAACCCAATCAGCTTCCCGGAGTGAGTTCTTC